CATGTGGTATATATATACATATACCTGTAATTGGCACTTTGTAATCACTGAAGCGATTTTCGGCCGAGCTCCTCCTTCAAATTGTGGCTTGCGTCTTGTTTTTCCAAAAAATAGAGGCACCGACAGCTTTCTCTAAGTTACATTTGAATGGATAACGGATTTGTATGAGGCATTATTTATTTGAGCTGAGAAATACACACGCAGGTTTCGACATTCCCTGTCGAGGGGTGACCGTGATTAGCAAAAAAAAATCATTTTTTTATAATTTTGGAATTTACACCGATCGAATCAGAATAACGAGTTGAGTTTATTTAACCATGTCCGTCTGTGGATAAGAAAACTTCTTCTTTTTGGCGTGAGCGGATGAAGTTTATTAGTTAATAACATTGCTCCTTTTGTTCCTTCTCTGCGCTGTTTGACGTTAGATGGATATATCAAGTCGCTCTGTACTTGATCATTCCAACAAAGTGGAGGTCTTCTTCTTCCTCTGCTTCGAGCAACTGCTACTGCAACGAATATTTTTAAAACTAAAGCGACGTGCTTCATTCAGGAGACATGACCTAGCCAGCGTAGACACTGTCGCTTCTTGCCATCGTCCAAGGTATTCCCCGTTGCCAATCTGTAAAGGAGCATACATTGTTCGCAAAACTCTCGAACACTCCCAGGATGTCGACATCGTCCAGAGTTCTACACCACATAGTAGAATAGGAGTGATAACTGATTTGATTTCACGTCCAAACGGATGTTTGTCGGCTACCCTGAGAACACTTGTTCTAAGTCCGGCAGTAGAGAGATGCTTGAATCGATGCACTGGTACATCTAAACGATCTTTTGTCGGTACCCCCAAAGCGTACCACTGAAGCTTATACATTTTTAAACAATTTTCAGGTTTTAAGATTGTGAAAAGTGGTGCTGAAAATTATGAAATGCTCTCATACAACCGATTCGTTGAGATCTGAGGTTCTGAGTAAAAAATCGTATTTGAAAAAATCATCGAAATAGGAGAACTTTATCATATAGTACCCTTCAACCAATTTTCCGCATATGAGAACTGGATTATTCCTTGCTGATCTCCCCAAACACACTAAAAAAAAACCTTCCTAGCTGTCAATACCACAATTTGCTACAGAAATGGGTCGATTTTGTTACGATCCAGCAACGATTTGCAGAAGGAAATTCGGTCCATGAGCTTTTTTTTCGTTAACACATGTGGAATGCCACACATCGAGCTTCTATGTGTATATCCAGCCTTTTTCAAGAGGTTCTAAACTGTTGTTTGTTTCTTGTTTTTGTGCAGTTTTTAGCTCCTATGCAGTCGAAACAATGTTCGCATGACGGCCAGACTCGACGATTTCCATTATGTTATCGACGTTTTCGCCAATTGACCTACTGGAACGATATCGACGAAACCAAAATTCTGCTTGATTGACTGTTACAGTATCAGCGCTATAAACACTATTCACATTTTCGGCTGCTTGACTTGTGTTTTCGCCTTTATCGCAAATAAATTGTGGAATAAAGCGATTTTTCTCTTTGCCGGTTTCCATCACTGAGTTGCGCTCAAACACTGCTGAGTTAACTGATCAACACTTCTCTCATTATCTTTTTTAGTACAAAATATCAGCTTTCTGCGCCATCTAGCGTAAACCAATCGCACTTATAAAATGGGCAATACAGATCACTAAAACCATATATTTCAAAAACAAATTTTTACTAGACTAATATGACCTTCTATCAATTTATGAAATGTAATTTATTTTATGCAAAAACCGTCTCTCACCTTTGATAAAGTAGTAAAACAACACTAAAGATATAAACCGTTTTTATATCGTACAGTTAATGTATACGTCATGAGAGCCCAGTAGGAAAATTCCTCTTTGCATCAACAATTTCTGCTTATACTCGTAATAGCTGCTCTTGTGTATTTTAGTTACGCCTCTGAATTATTTAATATATTGATTGTTCTCATAATAGCTTTGCTTTGGTGCAAAAAATTTCTCTTAGGGATTTTATAGTATAGTAACATTTGCCCCCTAAATCTCATCCAGATCTTCACTCATTTGTTGTATATTTTTAGTTCTTTAGAAAATTTACTGAAATCTTTGCGTGGGTGATTCGACCGCTTGCGACTGTCTGCGGTACGTAGTTAATGGTATATGTGTAGCAGAAGACTTCACTTATCTTGCCTGTCTTATTTCGAAGAAAACTTTTTCTCTGAAACATGTGCTGTTTGTGCGTTTCTTTTTCTTTCTTTCTCTGTTTCCTGGTCAAATTGTACATATGTCATGTATCTAAATTGTAGATCGGAAGCAACAACGCAAATTAAAGAAAATTAAAATGAACGATTTCAGTTTTGGTTTTTTTTATGTTTTTTAATTTATTTTCTATTTACTTTGTATGTGACGGGGATAATCTGCTACTGCTGACGTCAAAAAAATTTTCATGGTTCTTTGCATATGTGTAGTGTGATGCCAGGAGGGTGTTTGCATATAAGCAGATAATTATGTGTATGTTTTTATTTTTATTTTAAATTTTAATTAAGTTGTATTACTTTCACTTTGTATTTTTAGTGGTTTAGTTTATTTGCTTTTATTTGTTTTTATTTTTTTTATTTTTTTATATTTTTTTTTAATTTTTTTTTAATTTTTTTTATTATTTGTTTTCATTTATTTATATTTTTCATTACATTATAATGTTTATTTTATTATTATAAACCCGTCAGTCTTAATTTCCATCGCATTGAACTTATCTGCAATTACACTCTTCTACTTTGTTTTTATTTGAACATTTTGCTTCTCATTTATTACCTTGCCGCGCCCATCTTGTGGTTGCGGCTAATTGAATTTTTGAACTGCGTTATTAAAATTCAGCATAAACATTTTCGAAACTCGCGTTCTGAAGCGCCTCATTTATTTCGATTTTGCTGCGTTGTGTTGTGTGCGCAATTTGTCCGAAGAGCAATTTTGAATTTTTTGTATACAAAGTTTTTAATTTCGACGATTTTTCAAAATTTTGACGTAATTCTTCCGCATCTCAGCCGGGCTGCAGTGTTTACAATTTCGTTAGTGGACTGTTGCCAATTTTTTTTTTTTTTTTTTTTTTTTACAACCAAACCACTAAAGCATTGCAGCACAGTAAATTCTGCATGCCATGATACAAAATCATTTTTTTTTTTTTTTTTTTTTTTTTTTTGAAACTCAATATAATTCATGTAATTTTGGAATTCTACAGAAAATTTCCAGTTTTTTGTGCCATAAGGAAAATTCAATAAATTATTGAAAATTTAAGTTTTACGTGCACAAGTAAAACCGCAGGCGCTAGAAACTTTCGAATCTGTATAACTTTAACATTAAGTAAAACCGTGTGCTTGGTGCAATGTCCTTTCGCTCACGCTCACGCACCGCCCAGCCGCTAGCCACCACAGGCTCATCGCGTCGTCGCTCGCTCTCCAGCTCACGCGCCACCACAGGGTCGGCTGGTGGTGGTGCCTACAATTACAATGGCAGTAATTACAATAGTAATCATACAAACGGCTACGGCAGCTCCAGTTCACGTCCACTAAGCACGGGCTATTATCAGAATGGTGTTGGTGCGGGCACATCGTCGAGTGCATCATCCTCCTACTACCAGAGTCCCTATGCGAGCATTTATGGTTCACGTGATAATCTCTATAGCACAGCCGGCAGTCGCGCAGGTGGCAGTGGAGGCAGTTCATACTATTCGAATGGTAAAAGTACTAGTGTTGTTGGTGGTAGTAGTAGTGGTGGCGGTGGTGGAGGTGTCATTGTAATTGGTCGCTATGAATATACGTGCGGCTCAAATGCTACTTCCGTTTATCCAACCAAAGCTACTGCTACTACAACAGTATCCTCGGCAACGACATCGGCATCAGCATCAGCATCAGCTTCAGCATCAAAAGCAACTAATTACATGCCAAGAAAGTCTAGTTCATCCACTGCTGGTATTGATAATCACAATCATTATCATCATAATCATTATCACCATCATCCGCATCAGCATCAGCAAAATCAACAGCAATACGCAAAATCCACAAACCAGAAAAGTTCCTCCACATCCAGCCACTCCATTTCGAGTTCACAACATCATCATCACCATCACCACCATCGTCCGCCGTCATCGTCGAAGCTTGCAGTTCAGAGTGGCACGCGTCACACCTCGCTCTCGCCAACGGGTCGTTCGAAATGTAAATGCTCATATTGCACACCTTCATCTAAGCCAACTGCACATAATCATCATAACAATAGCCATACTAATCACTCCTTGAGTAGCAGTAATGGTAATAATAGTAATAATAATAATAAATGCTTTCTCTACAACACCTCCTCCTCCTCCTCCATCTCCGTGCAATCTACAGCCAATGGTGGCGGCAGTGGCAGTTATGAATCACGTTACACTTCGAATCCCTACAGCAGCAGCACGAGCGACCGTTATATGAGTCCCTACACCAACTATGACAATGGCGTTACAACGGCCTCGTTCAGCCTCGGCAGTAGCGTTGGCAAATCAAACTCTTTCAGAGGCTCCACAAACGGCAGCTCATCGTACAGAAGCACACCGAGCAGCGCGCGCTCGACACCGACTCTCCTCAAGACCAAAACAATCTCGAATTCGAATAGTAATATAACGTCATATGGCGGTAGCACAGCAACTCCAACATCATCTGTTGCGTCAGCAGTGAATAGTAGCAGCGCAGCGGCAATGGCAGCATTGGTGGGACGTAGCAATTCGTTGCGTGAACAGGAGCGTAAATCGCGTAATCGTTCACGTTCGCGTAGTGCAGCGCAACGTTCGGTTAGCGCATCGTCGGAGAAGAGTGAAGGTTATGAAGTACGTTAATGGGGGGATGACATATGTATAGTTGTTGTTGCTATTATTGTTTTAACATTATTTTAGCTTGAAGTAAAATATCAAAATGCTGTTTTCGTAATGCAATATTTATATATTTCTTTTTTTTCTTATTAATTTTCCCACTTTCACAGAGTGGCGGCGAACGTGGCGCATCGCGTTCACGCCTAAGCAGCACTACTACCAGCAACTCAAACTCCACAACAGACGAGAGTAAAGCACGTGATAGGTCAGAGAATGGCGAAGCCATCGACTATAAGGCTCTATGGGAGGCTGTAAAGTAAGTATGAGTACACGAAGTAATAAAAAAAAACGATTGAAATATTGAAAATTGTGCCAGTATTTGAGTATCCGAGCCTTTAAAGACGTTTAAGCTGATACGACAGCTGGACGCAGTGCTCTTAATTTGAAATTGTGGGTAGTACCAAACGCTTGGATTGTCCTTCTGGTACTTTCAAAATCAATGAATAAAAATTGTAATGCAATTTAGTGTTCATGAAATTCTTAACATCCTGCTCTGGTAAGGAATTTCAAAAAATAGGGGAATGTCACCGATCTCTTGCATCCTAGGGCCCAGAAAATGTCCGATTCCATACAGTAGATACAGAATAACAATTGAAGCTAAGCATAATAAAAGGGGGCGTTTTATGTATATAGAATGAGCGGGTTGTAGAGGGTGCTTAGACTCCTTAAGATCGTAACGTGTCCAGTGACAAATAATAATAATAAAATAATAAGCAAGAAAAGAATACCTTGAAGACGACCCGAGGGCAGGCATCGCCTGAACTCATACAGAAAATTGAAAAAATTGTCCGCGACAATGTTCGACTAATGAAGTAACAGCTCGCCGAAATGTTTGGAGTATCCGATACAGCTATTTTTAAAACCCTGCGTGCGCGAACATCTTGGCATGACATAATTTGTTATCGGCAAAAGATGAGTGCCGGGTATGCTCACGCCTTCACACAACAGCGTCTAGAGTGTTCACGTGCATTTCTGGACTACTGTAATAAAGGGGAAAAGGTTGTATTGAGTCGTATCGTTGCTGGAGACGAAGTTTGGGTTCATCATTAGGAACCTGAGTCGAAACCAGATTCCATGCAGTGACTTAAAAGGGGCAGAAGCACATGCCAGGTAGTCAGCTGGTTAACTCAGGGCAACGTTCTAGTGAGACTCGAAAGATCTATTTTAAAGATGTAAATGGTGTGCTGCTTTTCCACGACAACGCGCCGGTCCACAAGAGCTGGTTTGTGTTGGCTTCGCAGCAAAAGGTGGGCTTCGATATTTTGAATCATAGCCAAGATTTGGTGCCTTGATTATTACCTGTTTCCAAAAATAATAAGAGAGTTTAGAGGTAACAAATTTCTAACCGCTAATGGAACGAAGTGATGGGGACAGTTTTGGCAGTTTTATGAAGGCATAAAAAAAATAATTTAAGAATCTGAAAAGTATATCCTTTTCGCGAACACAAAAACGCTCCCTTGTATGTATGTTCCAAAATTTATGAAAAAAATCTCATTTTTTTACCATTTCAGATTGGAGAACGACAAACTGAAGCAACAGCTAAAGAAGAAAGATGAAGAAATCGTACAAAGTAGAGCAACACTCGAAAGATTTACAAACGCAGTAAGTAAAAAAAAGAAGAAAAAAATCAATAAAAACAATTTATAATCTATATACAGATTATTCAGTAACACTTTAATGCAAAAAAAGAAACTGTATACGAAAATCAAACAAATAAAAAGTTTTATGAAAATTTTTGAAAAACAAAAAAAAAATATCAAAAAATACTAAACGTGCATTGCCCGCTGCCAACATGTACATACAATTTATACGTCTTCAGCATCGCATCGACAGCCCCTACAACAGACATAAATACATATATATATGTGCATATTTATGCCAATCTATTGCTTAGTAGGAAAATAAGCAATTAATAATGCAAACAGAAACAAAATAAAAAAAAAATAACAAAAAAGCATGCGCCAAAACATAGGTCAGAATCAATGTAGGGAATCAATAATAAACTATTGCAAATAAAATAAATAAAAACAAACCATAAAAGTTGTGAATACAAAAATGTTTGAAATAAAAATAAGTAAACAAGAAACAATTCTTTGACTTTTACGCTTTTTGCCTTAACACACACTGAGCAAAAGCATAAAATCTCAATTTTTCTGCGACAGATAGTGCTTGTAGACAACTAAACTGCTTCAACGACACCAAGAAACCAGCTAATAACTTTTGTACATACATACGTATGTATGTTTGTTAAGAAAACACACACCCGCTTCTCGCGCACGATCCTACGCTGCACACACTCTTTGCTCTTTAAATAATTTAAAATAATTAATAAAAAATCTCTTTACTCCTCTTTTTGTGCTCTTGCTTCACACTGATGTAGCTCTTAATGCTGACAAATTTTTTTTTGCCGAGCGTTAAGCATAATATACACACACATACACACACACAGTGTAACAACTAATTTGTTGCGCTCGCTAAACGCTGGCTTTAACTGTTAATTGCATTGAATAATACATATACTTACATATATATAAGCTAAAAATTGAAATGAAAATTGCTGATTTCTTTAAATTTGAAACAATCCAAAAAAAAAAAAATATCGAAACAAAAATTTCGCAAATTTAATTTTTGCAGACAACTAAAAACTCACTCTCAGAGCTCGAAAAACGCGAAAGGAGAGCAATGGAACGCAAACTTTCCGAAATGGAAGAAGAGTTAAAGGTAAATGATTTTCCAAACCAAACAAAGAATATTAAACGTACAAATACATACATATATACACACTCCCACATGCACATACACGTATACGTGTATATATGTGCACATAACCCCCCCACACCAGCCTATTCACACTTCAAACACAAAAATTGTGAACATTTGTTGGTTAATTGTTGTTTTAAAAACACCTAACACCACTGCCTTGAGACTTAAACACTTTGTTAACCCAAAAAAAAAAAGAAAAGAAAAAAAAAACAATTTTTAAGCCATATTTTTTTTTTAATTTTAGACAACCAAACTTTTTATGAAATTTAATAAACATAATTTAAGCGCTTTAATTTCCAGCTAGCGATTGTGCTTTCAATGCATTTTCAGCCCACAATTTTTTATTTTATTTCAAAATTGATTATACTATTTTTATTTACATTATTTTCACGAAATTCCGAGTTAAATATTCATTTGGCTTTTTTTAGTGTAGAAATTTAATTTTCATCAATTTCATAAATAATTAATATTATTTTTTGCAATTTTTTCAACTTTGTGTAAATACAAGGTTATCCATTTTGCGGTTTCGAAGATAAACAAAAATAAAATGCAGTTGAAATATATGAGGTCAAGTTCGGTTTATATGTTGTAAGAGATGACGTTATTGTCCATAGCTCTAGTGTTACGTGTCGCAGCATGTCAGACTATACCACGCTGAAAACGTGTTTATTCGCGCTAAGGGCTTGTCTTTGACAGTTTTTCGATTGATTGTATATATTTTTTTTTTTAAATTCCTTTTTATGATAAAGCGTTGGCATTATATGTAATAGACTACAGTGCATCTTAAAAATTATCGTCTGGCGATTTTTTTTTTTTTTTTTTGCCAAACTGCGATCCGTTTGGTATAATTTTCGACCAAGTTTTGGCACATATTGAGCTGGTAGCTCAGCCATAGCTTGACGAATGTGCGTTTTCAGTTACTGAAGGGTTAAAGGTTTATCCGCATAAGCCCGGTCTTGCGCGTAACCCCACAAAAATAGTCCAACGGTGTCAAATCGTACGATCTGGGTGCCCAATTGGCATTGCCAAGATAAGAGATAACATGGTCGTGAAATTTCTCTCGCGATAGAGCCATATGCGCTCGTGTTTATGTGGCATGTGGCACCATCTTGCTGGAATTACACATTGTCCAGCTCGTATTCTTTAAAAACTTGGTTGTCATACCCTCATAATGCTTCGATTTGACACTGATAGTCTTGCCAAAAATATAAGGTATAATTATACTTTCGGACTAAAGGGCACCCTAGGCAGTAAGTTTTTTTTTGTTGTAATGCCCTCGGTTGAATTATTTAAAAATTCTCGGAGCCCCAAATGCGCCTAATTAGCTTATTTACGTATCTCCCGAGTGAGAAATGAGCCACGTTTGAAATATCATTTTTGTAATTGGTTTTAACAATTTTAACGCACTGCGTGATTGTTAAGCGTTACATTTTCAGAAGTGCTTGATTTTGAACCAAAACGAAACATGTTTGGCTTGACAGTTAAGCTTGACAGATGCCCAAAAATACCCTTGCAATTTTGAATCGACGAAATGGATAACCCCCATTTATATTTCCATTTTTTTAGGTTGTTGTAGTTTCGAAACTTATTTTTTGTTATTTTGCTTAAGCTTTGTACTTTTTTTTCGTATTGCCTTTATCAAGTTTTGCTTTACCTTTGTTTCCTGATTTTTTATATACATACATACAATAAACAAATATCCTTAAATTTACATATTCAAATTTTTTATATGTAAAATCCCACAGTGCACATGTTTGAGAAGCACTGAATGGGTTAATTGAAATATTTTTCTCATATACTGCTGCACCCTGTATTGAATTGATTATTCAGCTATGATGACAATTTAAAATCAATGTGCGCACATTTTGCCATTCGTTTTGCTTAAAAAAAAAAAATAAATAAATAAATAAATATAATTAATAACAGAAGAAATCATTTCACTCATTTCATAAAAAAAAACAACTAGAAATTTAAAAAACTAGAATTACGGGGCAAATGCATAAAACTTGGAATGAAAATAAAATATATCACACAAATTTACTGTTTTTTTTTTAAGTGGGTTCACCAAGTATGAATGAGCTCTAAAGTAATAAATTTAAATTTAAAAAAATTTCAGCTAAAATGTGTCTCTAAAATATAACTCCCTAAGAGCAGTTTTTGTTATTTGGAAAAAGAAAAAGTCAAGGTATAAAGAATAGCCGTCTATTATTTTTAATTTTAAATATCTTTGTCTTCTTTTTACATTTTTGAATATTTTTTTATTTGTTCATAATTGTGTTATACTCATTATAATTACAAAAACACGTTTTTGTTTTATGTATTACGCCAAACGTAAATTTTTTTATTTTAGACTCATTCAGAAAAATTCATTAGACACATTGAAATCCGTCTTACATTACCACTTAAAAACTCTCTCCAGCTCAACACGTAAAACACTCCATGTGTTCTTGTAAATACGCTCAATATAATCATTTCCATCTCATTCTCGCAATTTTTGCATTATTTGCAATTTTCTTAATCCTCACATCCGTCACATTTTATAATTTTATCATCAACAATAATATCCAAGCGCATCTCAAAACGAATTTTATTTCTATATATCTATGTTTGTCCATCCTTCATTCAATACAACCAGCTCGCACAAAAAGTCCGTTCTCATCTAGCATCTTTGTGTCATTCATTGTTAATGTTCTCATTGTCCACTCACTCAATCAATCAATTGAAAATCAAACGAAATCTGTTTAATATCATGCTCTTATACTTCTTGTTGTTCTTCTCTTTTTTTCTCCATCACTTTTTGTTGTTATTGTTTTGTGTCATTTTAGCTATTGCAGAAGCTAAAGACCGAGAATGAGCGTTTGCGTGCGGAGAATCGCGCTCTCACGCGCGTCGTATCCAAGTTGACCACCTCAGCTCAAAGTCAATTAGCTAAAAAATCAAAATAATTTAAACAATAAAAGAAAGAAAGCCAAAGAAACAAAAAATATTAAGAAAATATTTATATGAATTAATAGCGAATATACATACATATGCTATAGACTATAAGAAAATGAGTAGTTGAAAATTTATTAAAGAAATTCATATTGTTAAAAATAAGTGTTCATGAAAGCAAAACTAAAAAGAAAAAAAATCAAGCAAAACGGTTAATACCAAAGAAACACCAGTGTGGACTAATATGTAAGATCGTGTTAGATCGTGAATGATGATGATGAAATGCTGATGAAGGATGATGCGCTCATATGTAGCTGCATGAATTGAAGTTGCGAATCAAAATACAAGTTTCGTTTATAGTCGAAAAAATTGTTTAAGAGCTAAACTCGTGCGCAGAGAGAGTTAACGCTTTTTTTGTAACTCCATTTCTCTCTCCCGCTCTCTCTCACTGTATTACGTTGCCTAAGGGTTTGGAACTTGGATGAATGAATCAATGAAAGAGTTCAGCAACTGGTACCAGTATATTAAATATAATATGTGCAACAAAAATTGCCATTGAGTGCCAACTTTACAGCGTACCAATCAAGCGTACTATTTATATCGCCGTAGAGCAATTTTCATTGCCCAACATTATACTCATAGATTTACTAAATATTTAAAGTGTTTATAATACTCTTTCATATCATAAACGCACAATAATCTAATAAATATAGTATAAACCAGCTCAAAGTGTATTTAATTTCAAAGTTGAATAATAAAACAAAAACTACAAAAAAATTGCAAAAACTACTACAAGAAGACATTCATCAAAAAATCATTGGCAAATAAGTTTTTGGCCCCCTCCAGTAATCCAGTAATTCAAAATTTGGACTGTTCGACTTTTATTTATATGGGAAATCGTACAAGATACTCTCGAAAACAAAAAAAAAACTATACTCGCCGTTAGAAGGGAATAATCTCTACGTTGACTCTGCTTCGCACTAAATCGGTATGGTTAATGTTTATTTAAACGAAGTTTTTAAAAACACCTTTCTGTTGTATTTGTACTTTTTTTTCATAAATCAAAAGGACGATATTCAAAATGATTGGTAGTTTCGTTTAGGTAGATGAAAGTTCTTGTGATCAGGATGTTCAGAAGGATCAAAGGTTTAAGAATTGGTTTGGTTCCGAGCTTTCAATAGATAACTGCTTGGAGTTACTTCAATTTAAGTCTTATTAAAGATTGCTTCTCAAGAGTACCACAGTTAGACATTATAAATTTCTTTCAAAAATGGCATTCAAGCATATGGGCTGAAGTATTACAGGTTTCACAAAGAAACATTGCTTTTTTTTTGCTCAAAATAATTAACCTACGTACTTATATTACTTATTGCTTCTCAAGAGTACCACAGTTAGACATTATAAATTTCTTTCAAAAATGGCATTCAAGCATATGAGCTGAAGAATCACAGGCTTCACAAAGAAACATTGCTTTTTTTGCTCAAAAAAATTAACCTACGTACTTATATTACATTTCGGCGAAGAAAATTCCGGAAGTGGTTTTCGGCTGAGATCCTCCTCCAATTTGTGGTATTGATATTTTTCCAACTAATGGAGAGTCCAAACGGCCGCTGAATTTTTATGAGAAGATTTTATTTCATGTTAGAGCTACACTCGGAGGGCCTTACATGCTCTGCCGGGGGGCGACTGCAATAAGAAACAATAATTTTCTATAATTTTGAATGTTGATCGAATCACAATACGCAATTACATCCACTCGGCTATTACGGTTTGTGACATCTACGCTGTGCAGAATGATCAACACGTTATTCTTTTTGGTCAACAATGAGCATGCACTTTGAACATTTTTGACCTCCACTGCCTGTTTTGCATCAGCGGCGTTTGAAGTCAGTAAACCTCAATGTTTTATTAAAGCTATTTCTACGCTTCGGCAGTATTTTTCCTCACAAAAAGCTTTGCTTTTGATCCAGTGTTTTGAAAATAACTCCACTAACTTAGCACACTTAGATAATCATTAAATTTTCTTTCAGTTTCTTTTTTGATCGTTAGTAAATATTAACTTAAGAATCCGGTGAATACAATAAAATTAGCGCCTTCTATGGCGTTAGACAAGGTACTTACCTACCCATGTCTTACTACATATAAGATTTGAGAACAATTTGAAAAATATATGTTAGAGTTCAACTTGATACTTTATAATTTTGAATTTTAGTAAAATCTCTTGGGAGAAACTTTTCGTAAGCCTTTTCGTCTCTCCAAATGTTAGCTTTAACTTTCGAGCCAAGAAAAAAAAACTAGCGCTGCATTACTTGGCTTAGGTCTCGCCGTAAAAGTCTTTTGAATATTGTCCAAATCCACACAAATGTTTATAGAAAACCACATTAAAGTGTAAAACAACTACATAATGACAACTGTTGATACAATTATATTGTTAAATTGTTGATTGTATGCGTTATTTACTCCTTCGATTTAAAGTCTTTATTGTGAGTTCTATTATACATATATATTGTTAAGAAGCGTATATGAATATTATATAAACGAAATAAATATACATAATATTTAAAAAATTTATATATGTTCTTTCTTTCTTATTTTGTGCTGTTTCGTCACCGAATTTGTTGTATGCAAAATTTACATTTTTTTTTTTTAAATTTGAAAAGTTTTCGTTTTCGTTTGTAGCGTTTATTGCATTTGTTTCACTTTGTACGAAATTCTCTTGTCTATCGGCTAAATTTTCAATGAATTTTTCCTTAATAACAACTAATGTTCTCTTACCACTTGTTTTGTTAACTATTCTCCTAATTGTTTTCAATTGTTTCAAGCTGAACGGTTATACGATGCGCAATTAAATATACTTGCAATAATACCTCGTTGAGATTTCCAAGAAGCATCAGACTTCAAATGGTGGGAAATTTTATTAGATTTATGTCCTGAGGTGTTTTTTTAGGGGTATACTGCTTTTTTTTTGTGTCGGTATTGAGACACATACCTCCAGAATAATTGTATTTATCGAGGACCGTAATGATTATGGGTTATATAATGTAAATCACAACATAATGATTATTCATTCATTTTTATACATTTTGTTTAATTAATAATAAATATTTTCGAATTAAAGTGTCTGCTTCAGTAATAATAATTATTTTTGTCCGCTCAAAAAATATAAATTATTTTTCGAACATTTGTTTCGCTCAAACTCGAAGAGTTCCATTTTGAACGATTCACTTTAAACGTTCACAAGCAACTATTAAAAGATAATGCTTATTTTCTGAACGATACTTTCGTTTTGTTTTTAGAGTGAAAAATAATTATGATCAACTAAACAAAATAATAAAAATCATTAAATAAGATCAGATCTGAAAAGAGTAACAAAATGGTAGACTTCTAGTGGAATTCTGCGGCTTTACTAGGTGGATGATTTTTTTATTAAAGAAAATAGAGAGATTATTTAGAGTGGTGTTTTTAATTTGTGAGAATTTATAAAAAAAAATTCTTTATTTGTGAAAAATATATTTATATTTATTATTAAAATATGAAAAGAAGATGTAAAATATTATATTAGGTCTAGTAAAAATTAAACCATTATTCTTGTAATAGCTGCCTCTAACTCTCTGTATCTCGCGTTCTCTCTGTGTCTGTGTCTGTACCAAACAAGATTAAGAGAGAAGTGTTGATCACTTAACTCGGTAGTGTTTGAGCGCATGTGAAAGAGAGCATACGCTATATTCTACAATTTTTCTTCGAAAAAGTCAGAAACACAAGTCACACAGCTGAAAATGTTTATATTCCTGACACTGTAACAGTCGGTTACGCACAATTTTGGTAACATTCCAGAAATTTTATAATTTAAAATATGCTCCATGACGTGGAAGGCCGATTGCTGAAAAAATTGATAAAAACTGGAAATCGTCCTGTGAGCACTGTTTTGATTCCCCAGCAGCGAAAGACAGTTCTTAACCACTTGAAAAAAGCTGTATACACAAAGAAGCTCGAGGTATGGCTGTCACATGAGTTAATGGCAAAAAGCCTTATGGACCGAATTTGCATTTTCGAATCGCTGCTGATTCTGACTGGCGAAGAAAGGTGGATCACTTACAGCAATGTCAAATGAAAACTATCGTAGTTGAATGGTAGTGAGGCGGTCTACAAGTCAGCATTGACGACCACGAAGGGTTTGTGGTGTGTTTGGTGGGTTTAACAAGGTCTTATCCACTATGAATTGCACCTCTACGGCCAAACTCTTAATTCCGACCTGCATTGTTAGCTATTGGACCGTCTGAAGGAAGCAATCGCCCATCTTTGGTCGGCAGGAGAATAATTGTGTTTCATTAAGGCAATGCCAGACCACATCATTGTCGATAGTGAGTCGCCAGAAGTAGCGAAAGCTTGATTGAAAGGCTTTTAAGCATCCAGCTTATAGTCCGGTCTTCACACCAAGTGTTTACCTTCTGTACCTGTCAACGGCGAATGTTTTGGCTTATGAAGAGGCGGCCTCAGGGGAAGCTAGTCTAAATGGAGCGCAGCGCGCCTCAATTTTTTGCCAATAGAAACAAGGATTTCTAATGAATGACCTTTTACTGATATATGAGCCAAGAGAATTCTTCGGGTCATACAAGTATTTCTCGTAATTGAAAAACTTTCATCTACCACAAAATTAAATGTAAATTTATCATAGAGAAGCGTTCGGGCAACAAATATTTTGAAGGGCATGTCAATTCTCGCATCTCCTCTACTTGTTTTAAGGTGCTCGACATATTACCTTCCTCTTCTCTTATATTTTGGTCTAAATTATCTCTTAACTCTACTACTCGTCGAGGTGTAAAAGGGAGTTTCATTTGAGTTAAATAATTGGATTGAAGTTAGCTTTTAAACCATTATGAATTTGACAACTTCTAAAACTCTTTTGTTCCCGAATGATTTTCTTCAAAGCACTAACATTTCGAAATGCATATATATACGTGTATGTATGTACATACAAATATGGCATATAATAAATCACATCATGATTCCTCAATGCTGGGCAAATTACATCTTTCTTCATCGCATCATTTGGAAATTTTGTTTGCACTTTATTATCAGCTTACTAATGTTGCTCTCGCCTCTTCCTTTGCTTGCAAGTGCTCCCCTGCGTATGTATGTATGTACGTGCACCTGGCTATTTGGTTCGCGCGCCAAACAATCATCGCTTATTATTTTATCTTCCTGTGTGTGCGTGTGTTCGAAACAGATATTTACCATTTAAACATTTAATGATTTATTATATTTTCATATTTATTTAAAAAAAAGAGAAAAATACTACTTACATATTTGCATGTCCGTTCGTTCGTTCGTTCGTTTGTTCGCAGTTCATTTGCATGCATTTCATTTTGTTTACATATATTTATAGATATTTATGCGTAATTTTTGTTGGTGTTTATTTGTTTAACAAATCATTTAATTGGTTTACAATTAGCGTTGTGTGGTTTCATACGTATTATATATGTTGCGGTACAAGATTTTGAAAATAGCGCACTCTAAAGTTTTTTAAAATTTTTTTTATTTTTTTTCATATTCACATACATATATACGTAAATATATTTATGTATGTATGTGCAGGCAAATATTTTCGAGAAGGCTTGTATTTATTATTTATTATATGAAGAAACCTTAATTAATTGTAAATGTTCATAGACATTTTGAGTAATTTGTTAAATCGCATTAGATTTTCGACATAGTACTAAATG